GCGAGAGATACGCGTACGTCGGAGCAAAGAAGGGATGAAGAACGTATCCGACGTGAAAAGAACAAAGAGTAGCGACGCTGAAAAGAAGCGCAGAAAAGCGCCGCCAAGAAGAATACAGGAAAACGCAGAAACGCGGAGGAATACAGAAAATCAACGAAACCTGTAATAGGCAGCAGGAGAAGGAACGGGCTGCTAAGGAAACGCAGAATCGCGATTCACAGAATCGAGAAGGAAGAAGTGAGGCTCGAGTAAATCAACATCCTCAAAGGGGCCATATGATCAAGAGTGGGTCCAGGATAACTTGAATATGGATGATTATGAGTTTGGAGATATATCTTACAACAGTAAAGGTCATCCAGCTCAGAAAGCCACCGCACGCCTAAGAGCCCGCGCAGAATGCAATCAGTAGTTCATTCTGTTTGTTCAACGTTCAAGTCAGCCGAGAAACAACCGGCACAGCAGATGGATGAGGTCATGGAATGTAGTCCAGCATCCTCAAATGTCATTGAAGTCCATGGAGACGAGGACATGCGACCGTCGAGACGAAACATCATCTTCGATCTGGAGCGACAACTTACAAGCGCAGAGACGGCGAGTAATGCACCGCCAGAATCGGAATCAGAGAAGGGCGACCAGAAAGGTCAATCAAAGGTCACGGCTCCGAGGAGACAATCCCTACAAACCATTGAGCTGGTATATGAAATGAACGACATCATGGAACAGACGAACGAGATTTGCCGTTCAGTGGGCATTGCTCCGGATAATAAAGAAGAATTCGATAAGGTGTACTGGCTTCTCATGAACTTGCGCCAGGTCATCAACGATTCGGGATATGCGAAGGAGTACGAGTATGGGCAATGGGAAGATCTGATCATAACGCAAGAGTCAGCGAATCTTCATTACTTCCCGACGAGAGAATGCGGCCTTGTCAGTTTGATCGACCTGAGTCTCTTGGAAACACCGTTGGACACACCGGATCCAACAGGAATGACACAGTTCCAGTATAAAGACATCAAGGAAAGACGTCTGCACGTGGCACAATTTGTGTTACGCCATGTAAATCCGGCGCTGAGACTCCTCGCAGGAAGGGCTGCGTTGGGATTAGTGGTGAAACCAGATTCGCCACCTGATCACCGTGCCACGATTCAAAAGATTTTGCAGCAAGGCTTGGCCATTACGAAACGCACCACCAGTTGAGAAAGAGCGCTCAAAGAGGCACGGAGATACCGCCGGCACTGACCGCGCAGGTCATAAAGTTGGGAACGCCAGTTGCGAACTTTAATTCTTCGGAAACGGCCAAGAAGCAGCTAAAAGACGTCCAAAAGGCGATGAAATTCGATGATAGCCTGCGACGTCAAGCACAAATGCATGCCCACCGATGTGCGGAACGGATCAGAGTCACGATGGGAACACGGTTCATCCAGCCATCCGACTTCGTCTACGAATTCATTCAAGAGATCAGCGTTAACAAAAGCAGCTATCGACCGGAACTTGCGCGACAGCCGCAGGACAATGAAATGAGTCGACGTGGACGAAGAAACCAGCAGCTGCACTTGGATTATGTCGAATTGTGCAAAAGGTCACGAGACAATCCATACGATGAAGGATTGAAAGCGCGCATGGTCGACGCGAGAGATCACCTGATCCGTATCCAACGCAGACGTGACCGAAATCGTCACAGTGCTACTAGCAGCCGGAGCGAAGGAGACGAGCTGCAAGAGAGGAAAGGAACCTCGAGATCGAACGTCTGATCGTAATGAAAAGAAAGACGTTTCGATCGGAACCGCGACAATGGTTCAAATGATCAGTGATGACCTTTAGGGCATCGCTGATGTGCTAGTTACGGCCATCAGTCGGCAGCACGAGAATGGTGATAAAGGTACAGTATCAGGGCGAAGGAGACATAACTTGTTGAACTGTCATATCGTTTGTGTTTCTATTGGTTTCAGAGTTTTGTTGCAGAGGATCAAGGCGATCCGAAATATGGGGAGTTACGGAGGTCATCCGGCCCTCGAAGCAGGAAGAGTAACGGCGCTAACCGGCCTTCCTCATTACATTTAAAACGTCACCTTTAGAGTGTAGTTGCGGCCTACTGAGTCGGCACACTCTCGCGGAATGACAGAAGCCACAAGGGTGAAAAAGAGAAAGAGTTCAAGAAAATAGGAGTAAAACTTTCAGATGTTGAGGTTACGGCGATAACCGGCCTCAGAAGAAAGAGGAGTTACGGCGTTAACCGGCCCTCGAACCTGGTAAGGAAAGAAGAAAAGTGCGCGTCAATTTGCACTATAAGGAAAAGAAAAGGATGTGCGACCGAAGAAAATGGTTGAAAAGAATGATGACCTTTGCAAGGGAGGCAAGCAGAATTGCTTGAAAGCCAAAAATCGGCTAAGTTCCTCCATGACCTTTAATACGGAACTCATTATGGAAAAATGGATGACCTTTTGGGATCGTCACGGCCCAAACGAGTCGCACATCAGAAGAGAAAAGGATGACCTTTGAGAACTTCACTGCTCAACGAGTCATCAATCAAAGTTCAAGAGAATGACCTTACCAGGGAGGAAGCATCAAGCTTGTCTTTCAAGACGTCCCTCCATGTCTACGAGGAAGAATCTCATTTTGCAGAAGTCGTACTTGATACGCGAATTATCCAAAGATGAAGCAGCAGTATTCGGAAGTCGTACTTGATACGCACCAATTCCTAAGAAGCGGATCTCTCATTGTGATGATAAAGATTGCTCAAAAGAGCGGAATGAACCAAAGCGGATTACGGTTGACAGGACCCAGTGACCTTTTAGGAGTCGGAGGATCCTAGTCGTTTTGATAATGAATTCTGTTGATATTTTTTTTACTGTTTTTACTTTTGTTCCGAGATCTCTTTATTCACACATGTAATTGGAATTTGTGATGTTAAAGGGAGATTAAATCTCGATGTTTTATTAATCGCACAGACGAGCCGTCAAGGATCCCAAGGAATTGGACGTGGATTCTGCTTCGACGGAGCTCAGCCTCCCTCCCAGAGGCATGTGAGCGCAGGCGTACATGCGTACACCCTCGCTTGGCAGTCTGTTGCGTGTTCATAGCGCGCCCGCCTTACGCGTGGCGAAAGCATGGTGTTCTGCGCGCACCCGCATCATGTGGCGGCTACGTGCGCATTTCTCACGCTTGCTGCAGTCAGCAATGCGAAGTTGTCCATGAGGAAATTCTATCGAATTTAGTCTGTTTTATAAATTCCTAGCAATCACGCCGTTTCTCGCTTTCCGTAGCGTAGGCGCATTTATAGCATTGCTAGGCTTTTTGGTAGGCAGAATTCCGTCAATTCTGTTCCTACGCGTGAACCTTCATTGGGTCCACGCTTTCTGTAGTAATGTTTATAGTTGCCGGACACGCTAGCAACAGGGACAATGCCCTTACAATTTGATTACGAAAATCAGTTTTGCCCAAGCCTAAATGCGCATAAGCTGCATAAAAAACTATTGTCCCATATCGATAACAAAGAAATCCGGATACTTACAGAATGCCGAGATCGACAACGGCGGTTCCCAACATATAACACCGTGCAGACGCTTTCCACTTGCGCAGACCGCGCATTAGAATAACCAGACTGAGTATGTTGGCGATGGTGCAAACCAGCAAAAGAGATAAATATGCGAAAATGTAGAATAGGTACACCTGTTCTATTTGTTGTTTGTTGTACTGACAGAGGATCCCACTTCCGACATCGTCTCTTGACGTCCAGTTTACACTGCATGGCGCAGTAAGTGAAGTATTGTCTGTGTCGTTTCCCAGTGCAGTATTGCCCATCTTCCAGTTAGCTACTTTTTGGTATGGGAACCTGTTACTGGGAATAATCAACACTTAATCCAAAAAACTCCACAGGTGCGCAAATGAATATGACCTAATGAAGCACAAGGAAATCGAATAAAAATATTAATAGATAAGACAGCGAGACGGATCGGTTAACGTGCAAATTTCAGATTTGAGAGGAGATGATATGTCTTCTTGTTAATCAGTCTAAGTACTAACAAATTGTTTACAACCAGGAAAAATTATGAGAAAGACAAGAATGACTATTCAAAACCCTGATTGTCACTTCGCAAACTGGTGGAGCAAAATTATCCTTCCGGCAAAACTTCTTCCGAACTGGTTTATAATTATCATTAGAAACATTTTTTTATTTCTGTTGATACTGCCCATATAAGCAGTTTCGAACAGAATCTTGGTACTCGTAGATATGAGGCTTAACCCTAACGTACGTAAGTAGCGTTTGGCGGATTCCATAATAATATGGACAGCAGTAACGAAGTGATTTACTGTAGTAGATTTACTTTTATAAAAACGCGCTCTGCTGAGCGCTTTAGGATAAAGCCTCAGCACTCCAGCACTACAGCAAGAGTACGCTTCTGTTGGTCGGTTCAATGTCACGTGGTAAATTTTTTCAGTGTGTCCTTTTAATGGCACACAACGGGCCAGTTAGTGGTGAAGCAGGCACTCAGAATACGGTCAATCTTTATTAGCTCACAATCAGGTAAACTCCTGAACAATGACAGACTGAACATATACAGATACATTATTAAAGCGGATGAATGTTGAAATTTTCTTCTTAATCTGAGTTTGGCTTATTACGGTTTACAGTATACCTGTTTATTCGAAGCGGAATGAAGTGTGGTTAAAGTTAAATTCGTCGACAAGATTGTGAAGATAACAAAAAAAGGAGGAACCAGCGTATTACGTATACAACACCGTTTAGGCACTCACTGGGGAGAGGCTTATACGAAAAGGTGTAAATTCGAGGATATTTCACGATAACTGGTGCATTTTTGCAAAAAGTTTTGTTTTTTTCTTTCTCTGTAAGATGGCTTGAGGCCGTTTGCGGCAGTGTCGGCATATTTGCCCACAGGAAGTGAAGTTTCGAGCTCACCATTCGCCGCTCCGTGTAGGAATAATCCGTAGCATTTGACACCCGTTTGTTCACTTTGTTGATTATAAAATTAAACTGTTCTACGTCTGGTTATCAGATTGAAACTCCTAGATAAATGATAACCAGCAAGAGATAAGAAAGCTTACATTGGTTACTAATTACTGAGTATGCACTTATCGGCTTTTTACGTGTAGCTTAATTACCGCACTGTTTGTAGCTTTTAGCATTTGTTTTGCCGCAGTTAATGTAAACTTATGCGGCTTTAAATAAAAAAGTGAGTCCGCTGTCTGTTAATCATGGAAAACTGTAAAAGGAAAAAGCACGTCTTGGCCATTGCGTATCCCGCTTACGGGCATACCACGCCGCTCCTGGGACTATGCCGAAAATTATGTCGGTACCACAACGTTACATTCGCCGTAAGTGGTTTCATAGCTAATCGCATGCGTGAGCGAGAATTCCGGAACCTTGAAGCTGGCGAATCCATCACCCTGTACCCCATCGACGACGGCGCCCCCGCGGATACCCAGTTCAAAGTGGACAAATGGCACAAAGCCCACGATGTCTTGATGAATCATGTGCACCCGGGTGTTCGACAACTCATGTCGCAAGTGGCCACCCTCAACCAATCAGGCACCGCTTTTGAAATCACCCGACCAGTTGATGTCGTCATTTTTGATATGTGGTTCGCGCCTACGGTCATGACGACAAAGGTCCCGGGGATTCTGTACTACTATTTCAACGGGACGCCGTCATACTTTCTCCGCTACTTGTTACTGCTGAAAGATGTCACGGAAACCTGTCCTGTGGAAAAACACGATTGGTTCCAGGATTTGCCGCCACCCGGGAAGATGCTGGGCCCGCAGCTGGACATGCTCCTGTCCGAAATGGGACCGCTTGGCAAATATCTCCCGCTGGTGGATGGTGTAATCAATAATTCGCATAGAGCGGTCGACCAGCAAGACATTGAGATCTTGGAGAAAGACAGAGGTATGCCGGGTGTGAAGATTTTCTGTCTGGGACCGTTCCTATCGGATTCCACGACTCCGGTAACCGATGAGATGGATGCGAAACTTGTACGTTGGTTGGATAAACAAAAACCCCGATCTGTACTGTATATTTCGTTCGGGTCGATGGCTGCACCAACTGAACAGCAGTTACACGAGATAGGGACGGCTTTGTTGGGCTTGAATGTGCCTTTTATTTGGACGCTTCGAAAAGGTCACGAGGAGAAATTACCACATGAAATCCTCATAAAAATGTCAGATCAATCGGAAGTAAGTAACTGGTACGGATAGTCTCGTAATTCATTTGGCTACAGTATTAGTCTCGCGCACGAATATAAGTTATGACGATGAGTACCATTTGCAGGACGACAGTAACCGATCCTTCTGGATCGTTCCATGGGCGCCACAAACAGCTATTCTAAATCACCCGTCAACAGGCGCGTATTTATCGCACTGTGGCTGGAATAGCGCCCTGGAAAGCATGAGTGCCGGTGTACCCATTGTGGCCTGGCCGCTTTTTGCTGATCAACGCTCTAATGCCAGAATGCTGGTCAAACGCGGAGCGGCCATTATGATGGAAGGAACCAACATTCTGTTCAAACGTTTGGTGCCGACAAGGGAAATTGAGAAAGCCATTGAGGCAGTTTTGTCCGAGCCAGCGTACCGAAACAGCATGGATGTATTCCGCGGAGAGATTACTGATGCTCTCTCGGAAAGCGGTTCATCCACAAAAGAATTACACGAATTTGTTCAATTTGCTTAAGAGCTGTGTGTTCATTTCGTCACAGCGTTATCGCATCTTGATTTCTGAAGATAACGGAATTTCTGGATTTACTTATCAACGGTCTTCACATACAAATGATGTACAAGGTGTGTCAGTATTTGGTATGCTGTGAAAATCTATGTGATTCTGATGGAGGCATTTTCCTATGCCCCAAGTTGGAAAATCATAATATCCCTTTTGCGTTTTTCAATGTGTAAAAAAACCCTCTGGGATTTTCAGACAGCAAATTAAACAAGGTACTGCATTAACAATTTTGCCACTTGTACTTAATTGTATCTGTATTTGGGATTACTGGCCATGTTGATATACAGTAAATGTCAGTAACGGAATAATTTTGTGGTTATTCGATTATGTTTTTGGTTTATGCTTCCGCAATACTTTAGATGTCTCCATTATTTGTTATTACGTAAGGTATTTCCACTTCAGACTGCCGGCAGGCGGTTTGTATACGGTTTCCACCACTCTCCACTAATCATTACCGGTTTACGTTTAATAATTTGCCCTGTGGTTAATCAGCAAGTAAGTAATCAGCCTTTGTCAGCGCTTATAGGACAATACTAGTCCTGTAATGTGCTGTGCGTATAGGCTACGCTGCTTACCCTCTCGCAAGAACTGCAGTAACGCTTGATAATGGAAACTGGAAATTCTATTTCCAAGCGTAATTCTCGATGTTGTGGTGTAGTACTCGTGCTATGAGTATTCGGCTTCTCTTAATACCTTTCTCCCACGAGTAATGATAAATCGCAAGATGCAACATGCATGCTGTATTTCGTATTTCATTGTGGTAGAAACTAGAAAATCCACTTGTGTCGAAAAATACGGTACATACAGTAGTATTCATTCTTTTACGCTTGTCGTTTTCAGTTTGTGAGAGTTTTGAAGCCTTAAAGATTATCCAGTTCTCAATTGGAGGTATCGTATACGACGTATAGCCAACGAACAATAAATTGCCAAGCGTTCTTACTGAAAACGTACAGAATACTGCATGATATGACATTGTGTAACCAGATATTTCATGCCATCTTATGTTCGGCCCTCGGAGTGATGGTGGGCGCAGATTTACGAGTCAACTACTGCAGAAATGAATGAAATGAATAACACCAGTGTGCTGCCTGATTTTGTGAAACCAACTCACAACATTTGCGTTTCGAGTTGGAATGTCGCAAATACAAGCACATCCGTTCGGTGCCGATACAATGATCAGCAAATGTACCAAGCTTTCTTATTCTACACTTTTGCGTATCTGGTTCTTTTGTTCCTGTGCACATTCGGGAATCTTCTTAACCTGGTCATCCTAACGCGCCGTTTACGAAAGTGGAAGACATCGGCCCGCTGTTACATGCTGGTTACAACGATTGCTGACCTGGGTGTTCTGTAAGTGACAAAGTATGATTAATTTTACTGTAGTTCGGCAAAAACCTGACAACTCGAAAACTCGAGCACGTCGCTCATTTATGGGTAGTACTTGCAATCTGTTAATGCATTAATACAAATGTTTAGCGTAAAGACCACAAGCACTTAATGCTTATTTGAATCGAATCCTGTCAGAATACCAGGACAAAAACAGACAATTACAGTGTGGTTCTAGTATGACGGATATTAAACAGTGAGTGTCGTTTTCTTTAAAAGGATATTGTTCCACTAGTACTCTTGTATCCAATATAGATATCCATAACTGTCGTTTATACAGACTTACAGTTAGTACACTGTAAACGCTACTCATACGTCTAGTCTATTTACGCATATTCGTTGGCGTTGCTCACGATCAGATTGTTTACTCTCTAATAACATCACCTCGCATACGGGAATGTCAAAGCTGCTAAAAAATGTAAATAATGCGAAGTATATAGACCGCGTATTGAGTATAATGGCTCGTAGTATTCGGTTCTTACCAACCACCACCCAAATTTGAAATCATGACGGTGATCCCTACACAACCTTCGATTCTTATGCGCATTAGCGCGGATTGCTGGAAGTTGCTCACCTGGAGTGGATCCCAGTGCGCACTGTCTGAAGAATTGCTCCCAGCATCTTAATCCTTGTTCTAATGTAGATGGTTGGGACTTCCGAGTTGCGTGTGGAATATTGGCATGTTCTTTCGGCTATCCTTTAATTCCCCGAACAATGAGCCAGTGATTACGATGCTGACGGGAGTGACTTTGTGGGCTCAACAAGCCTGCATGCGCTGGTCTGACTGGTAGGCGCAAAAACTTGACAGGTTCATAAGCAACAAACCGTACTTAGTATTTGGCAATTACAAGTATTATTAACACAACGGTTGTTTAGTGTAACATCGGACTATTTTAACCTTTGAGATGTTCACACTTGCGAATTTACGTTGTTTTGTGCAGGGTTCTTGTGGTTTTTTCGCTTGAAAGATCGTTAATCATTATGTATCCGTTCCGATTCAAACCTTTACAGCAAATTCGGGCAGCACGGATGGCCAGTGGCATTCTGGCCGCAGTGTCCGCGATATATGGCATATTTGCTTTTGTGCAGCATTATTTGTATTACCAACACCAAAATTACGATGTTATGACCAAGCTCCACAATGCTCCTTATTGGTTTCTGCCATGGCTAGAGCTGGATAATACTGCGAAAGTAAGAAGCGGCTGCCGTACAACTTCAGCTAGTTATACTGCACTACCTGTACATGCGCGTATAGTACTTCGAAAATGAATGCAACGGTAAATCAACTGACGCTGCCATTGACGGTTTTTCCTGATTTAAGGGCAGCTAACTTCAAAAAACTTAGTTGGCTTTTTTTAATTAGGTCATTGTGCAAGTGTTGACCTTTTTCCTTATCCTGGCTCCGAGTGTTTTTCTGATGGTGTTCCTTGGCCACCAGCAGGATACGAGAATGATTGAAATGCGGTCACAACAACAAGCTAGGCACAACCAGAAATTCCAGCGCAGCAGATCTCACACCCCTGTTGGTACAAACATCATCTTAGTGAGCAGTGCGGTTCTGTATCTCGTCACCAGATTTCCGCACGTCGTCAAGATGTGCCTCTTCCAGTTGGCCGACTCCCATTATGACTGGTCTGTGGTGTATTATGTCTCAGCGTTCACGGATGTCGCCGTGTATGTCGGGTATTCCTTTACTTTCTTCATCTATCTCCTCACCGAAAAGAGCTTCCGAATGCATTTTATCCAACTAATACAGCCGTTGTTGCCCCAGGATAATTCTCATGTGCACTATACCGGACGCAAGTGGGTTTGTAGATGCATCGAGATTGGTCAATCAACATCGGCTTCAGCTGCTGAAATACATGGAAAGTAAATCCAATGACATGACGACGATAAATTAGCCAACAAACAATTCGCATTGTGAATCCCTAAATCTAGCTGGCGAGAAGAACTTGATCACGTTTTGGGCGTGATGTTGGTTGATAATGTTTTTCTACTGTCACTTCACATAAAATGAATAAACAGTTATTGGAAACGTTTTACCTTTACCTGATTATTCAACACTTACCTCTGTACACTATTAACGAAGAAATATTACAAAGGTCGACGCTTACTGACCTTAAGAGAAGCTGCATTAGAAATAATTTACAAGACGCTATTTCTAGCAACATTTTTAGCAAGTCAAAACGTTTCAGAATGCCATTTATTTAGCCGACAGGCGTAAAAAGTGTTCATACGCTGGTTGCAATTGTTGACTAACCATAAGTCTTCGCAACAAGTATTTGTAATTAATTATGCCCTATGGCAACCACCACCGATGCTTTACCCTATAAAGAAGACTAGCAGGTTCGCTTAGGAAACGTACTAAACATTTTTGGGTTGATTCACAATCAACGGATTAAAAACCTCGTAAATTACTCGTGTACCATGAACCGCTTGTTTCCAGTGCTGTCATGTGCCGGGTACTGTAATGTGTATACTTGTTGTTCAGGTATGCTACGTCAGTTAGTGCGGTTAAGTTATGATGCCGTTTTAAGTTCCCTTTTAAGTTCCCTTTTAAGTTCTCTTTTGCAAACGTCTTCATTATATCGTACGCTGCATATCAATCATAATCAATGGCAGTGAACTGATCGGTGTTGCAGCGATATCTCGAGAACTGCAGGGTGGAGAAAGGTTTAGAATCGACGTACAGATTTTTACCGATAATTTAGCTGAAAGATTACGGGTTATAAAGAATGAACAACACTTCACGGGAGCTCACAGATCCGTTGAATTCCTGTGTTTCCAACTGGATGGATCGGAATACTACTGATACTGGTGCTGCCGGTGTTCAGTTGTGCCGATACAGTGACGAACAAATGTTTCAAGCGTACATGTTTTATACGTTTTCGTTCTTGATACTATTGTTCGTGTGCACCATTGGCAATGTACTGAGTTTGGCTGTCCTGTTGCGCTGCCTACGGAAATGGCGAACATCAGCACGTTGCTATATGGTGATCACTGCCATTGCCGATCTCGGAGTTCTGTAAGTGTATTTGCTATGACCATTTTTCGGCCTATGCAGTTGCTTTCAAAACCAGATAAAACGGTTTTCGCTATACGCATTCAGAACGAATCAGAATTACTCATTACAATGCAATGGTCCACAAGCCTTAATTGCCGTTGCTGTTTAATTAAGCTTTGCTTTACTGTAAGTTAACGTTTTGGGTACTCCTGGATGCCAGTTTTACATATAAATATTAAACGACGTGCGTTTTTATTTGTAACTGACACGTTATTGTAGATGGCTGGGACTACCAAGCTGCATTGTGAACATTGGTCTGTTTTTCAAGTTGCCATATTACTCAGTGAGCAACCTGCCGACCATAATGATTATGGGAGGAATTACGTCATGGGGCCAACAAGCGTGTATGCGCTGGTCTGATTGGTATGTAATAAATTGGGGTTTGTCCAGCCACGGAATTCTGCAAAGACACTGCTATGAATAACAACACATATCCGTTAAACTTGCAAAATGAGAGCCATAGCTCTATACTACAGTCTGTGGATATGTGTTGCTTCTGTTGTCATTTTTTGTGTTCTTCTTAGGGTACTTGTGGCGTTTTCTATGGAGAGGTCACTAACCATAATAAATCCTTACCGACTTGAACCGTTACAACGAGTGGCGACGGCTCAAATTATTACTGCGTTTCTGCTTATCCTGTCGCTGGCATATGGCATGTTTGCGTTTGTAAAACGTTACCTCTACTATATCCATTGGATAAATGATATCTCTGCAAAACTGGACAACGCCCCCGCTTGGTACCCTGGCTGGGATGAAGTTGATAGCGCTGCCAAGGTAAGTGACCGGCGAATTACAGAAACCTCATTTGCACCCCAACAGATTGTCCGCGTATATTCAGGTTATAGTTCAAATCGTCACCTTTCTACTAATCCTGATTCCCAGTGTCATCCTCATCGTGTTTCTTGCAAGACACCGCAAGTCAGCAATTAGTACAATGCGTCTGCAACAAAAAAAGCCATTGCGTGTCACCGTAAAAAGAAGCAGTTCTCGCTCCAAAGTGGAAATCAATATCATTTTACTGAGCAGTGCTGTGCTCTTTCTCGTCACAAGATCTCCGAGTGTTGTCAAAACGTGTTTATTCCAGCTGGCAAATCTCAGTTTTGACTGGTCAGTTATATATTTTGTGTCACCTTTCACCGATGTGGCTGTCTATGCTGGATACTCGTTTACGTTTTTCATTTATCTCCTCACCGAGCGGAATTTTCGAGAGAATTTTCTCAAATTAATTTCTCCTTTCCGGTCCGATAATACCTACATTCGCCGTACTGGGACGAAGCGATGCGGTGAACATTTTCAGATGGGACTATCTACATCGGCATGGGCGGCTAGTGCTTGCGTTGAACGGCCAACGACTTCCACCTGGTGCAGATCATGACAAAAATGCGTTTGATTTTATGAAGTTTATATAAAGTCGTGCGGTGTAAAACTAGAAACCTAAAGCGATTCTACAAAATGTCACTATTTCTGACTTTTCTGATGCGCATTCAACTTGATGACTATCGCGCCATTTGAAACTGCGATATTTTACTCAGACCTGGAAATCCGTCTTTATTACAGAATATTAATTTATCATCCACTGTATGGATGGTGCAAAGAAAATCTCCACGGGCGTTTTTACCGGCGAATAAATCATATCTGAATAACTGCATGAATAAATTTCGTTTTGTTGAATATCAGACTATTTAAAACCTCTCAGCAAATATAAGTTTTTCTTCATTCTTTCCAACGATCTACTGTACCTCACTTATCAAAAGGTCGCCCGTATGCTGAACCAACTGCTTGGTACTTTGCCCCGCCTGCAAAATTTAAAAGGACAAGTTTACAGAATAATGTGCCATCAATGGAAGCGTACTTCTTCCTGTATGTGAATCGGCGATGCGTCAAATGCCCAAAAGACCTTTGCCTAAGGCACTTTACACCGTGACTAAGTGTGTTTTTCATCCAAAGGCATTATAATTTACGGTACTTCGGTAGCGATACTGAGAAATCCGTCTAACGTTAATGGAAGTTAGCTTCCGCTCGGGGTTGGCGTTATCTCTACCAGGCGGTATTTCTAATAAAGTCGGCATTAATTCTGTTTGTTCAACAAAAATCAGAATAATACCAATGATGGTAACTGGTTTATAATTGCTAAAAACCAGTTCGGAAGGACTTTTGCCAGAAGGATGATTTCGCTCCGCCAGTTTATGCATTATCCTGAACTTTCTTTCGAATAGTTGCAATAGTCGTTACTAGTACTGTAGATTTTTGAATAGTCATTCTTGTTTCCTCATTTTCTGGTTGGCTACCATCTGTTATTACTTACGGTTGGCTGGTTCACATAAGGATATATCACAAGCTGCAGTATTGAAAGTTAAAAATTTTTATTTGTACTGCACAGCCCCAGTGCAAACTAGCCAGTCTCTCTGTATTTTTTACGTTATGTTTTTTATTTTGTGACCACTCCGTACACACCCTTTCACTACCTTTTACTCCGTACACTACCTTTCATTCAGTGCACAACCATTTGGCACTACCTTTATCTGCGCGCACTACCATTTATTTTTTTTATTTTTTCACAGCAAAGTTATTTCAGGAACTGCCGTTTTTTCGTTAACAGCTGTTAGTGCTGCTTTTTCGATGGCAAACAGAGTGAAGGTCGTACTCTGAGAGCTGAGATTTATCAAAAACTTCTTCAAACTGACTGAATATTTGAAACTGCGCGCTTTGTAATATCGCAAAATGAGGATTAGAATCCACACTATTACGAGTACAATCACAATCTTGTGCACGGTTGAAAGATTGTGCAAAAGGTTGTGTACGGAGCAAAAGGTAGTGAAAGGGTGTGAACGGAGTGGTCACCTTTTTATTTCTCTGTTCTGCATTTTATTTGAATTGTTACATTCATCTGTACGGCTGCTGAATTTCTGGATTTAAGAGTGGATTGTGTTCAGTTGAATGCTTGCCAGATGAAAGAGTTCATTAGCTCACTGGATGATGGACGTCACAGCACTGGCAAACGACACAAGCGATCCATTAAATGCTGCGTTATGCAGGGCCAACTGGACTTCAGGATCCGAAGTGGGAAGTGGTATACTCTGCCGGTACAACAACCAACAAACACAACAAGTGTTCTTATTCTACATTTTCGCATATTTATCTCTTTTGCTGGTTTGCACCATCGGCAACGTACTCAATCTGGTTATCTTAACGCACAGTCTGCGCAAGTGGAAAACATCTGCGCGATGTTATATGTTGGGGACTGCCGTTGCCGATCTCGGTGTTCTGTAAGTAACCTTTGCATCTCTGCACTAACGGTTTTTCGTGGCTGCATATGCATATTTAAAGTTCCAAACATTGAGTGAGAAAAAAATGGTTTTCGCAGTCAGGTTGCAGTAGCATCAGTCCTCTTTGTTGGCTGTTGCTAAAACGTCAGGTTAAAAAACAAACCGTTAATTATACAATGTGATGGATTCTACAAGCTTCAGTACAAATAATCACATTCTATACGACTGCAAAATTCATAGCTTTTCGTCAACTTTAAAAAATAGAGAATATAATAATTTAAAAAAAAAGCTAATTCTTAAATTATCGATCTGCAGCTGGTTTGGACTGCCATCATGCGTGGACAATATAGGGCTATTGTATCAACTACCGTTCGCGAAGCCAGGGAACTTAATACACGCAAGTTTAGGACTTTTGAAAGGATGCACAGCATGGTTTCAAGCTATCTGCTTGCACTGCTCTGACTGGTAAGCCTTAAGATCACACAAAATTGACAAAATCAATATTCAGTACGAATTTGTACGGTCATCATTGGTGTTGATTCCTCAATGATTCTGTTTCCTGATACATTTTATCCAGGATGCTAATGGCCTTTAGCTGGGAAAGGCTACTAATCATTATCAGTCCATTCCGATTCGGACCGTTGCAACGGGTGTTGACTGCCTGGATGATAATAGCAACCCTATTTCCCGTAGCGTTACCGTTTGGCATACTCCAGTTTGCGATTTCCTACTGGTACTATTCCCTCGATAACAAAGATCAAGACGATATTGTTTTTCTTGCCCATCCACCAATTTGGATTAGTCGATGGTCAAAGATCGACAATCTGGCTGCGGTAAGGAACCCTATACCGGCCTAGCTTGTGGTTTTCAAATACACCATTGTATTTGCTTACACAAAATTGTTTTTGTATAAATTCTATAATTTTTTCGCTGATAGGTTATTGTGCAACTAGTGACCTTTATCCTTATCTTTATCCCCAGCGTTTGTCTGATCGTGTTTCTCAGCCGGCAGCACCGCTCCACCATCAGCCAAATGCGCCTTCAACAGGCACAGTCGTCGCGGTCGCAGCCCAGCTTAAAGCAAAATGATTCTCGCCCCGAAACGGGCACTACCGTCATCCTGCTTAGCAGTTCGGCACTGTATCTTGCCACCAGATTCCCCATGGTCGTTAAGTTATGCTTGTTTTACTTAGGCGCTGTACAGTACGACTGGACGGTTGAGGTTGTTGCCGGGCTTATTACCAATATTGCCATGTACGCCGGGTATTCATTTACATTTTTCACTTATCTTGTCACCACAAGGAATTTCCGTGAGCATTTTTTTAAACAATTTACACTTCCGATGTTCAGTGACGGAGCTTATATATGCCCTTCTCGATCAACGATTTTTTCTCTATTAAAACGGTAAAGCGGATGAATGTTGTCTAAGCGGTTCAACATGTGTGACTACCTGTTCTGACCAGCTTGCCGTGAGCGTAGCATGACTAGACACATTATCGGAAGCTGCCCATTCTACTTCCAAACCTGATTTTAGTTTGGTTACTTCTTCCGTTCTTACGGGACGTCGTTCTAATAAATTACTGTAGGCCTGCGATCTGGCCGCACAGTAATTGGTGTTTCTCTCGCTTCTGGTAATCGTAATCTTAGCTGTTTCGTGACCTCGCATTCTTTTCCAACATAAACAGTCGCTTGCTTGGAAACGCTGTAGGTGTAAGCAATTCCAGTTGAGATGCTTTAAGAGCATCGTTTTGATATGCTTCGAAACAGGACTGTCAAACGTCCTCGTATGCCGCGAAAGCTAATGGAAATGCTGACCAGTAGCTGCGTGACAATAACGTCTACCAAGCTAATCGAGATCCCACGAAGAATAGACATTGAGAATGCCGCTCTTATACTCGTACTTAAACCGTCTACACTGGAAAAAACGTCAAGCTTTACATTGTCTTCCAGTCCACATTGCAAATCGCTTATGTCAGCTTTGTTACTTAACTACAAATTACTCGTATGTTACAGATACTGAAATAGGTCGATGAATAATGATACAGCTGATACTCGTATTGAAAGTCGCCTCCCTACCACGCTTGCATTATTATTAGTTGTACATAAAAAGTGTAATTAAGCATTCATTTGTTTAGCTGCACAGTTTCACTAAACCATGTGCGGCCCAGATTCCTGCTACTTTGTATTATAATAATCGGTGGTGTCCCAAAAATGGTGGCCCCATACAAAACGTGGTGTAAAAGTGGTGTCGAGAGCTTAGAGAGTGGTGAATGGTGATGTCCGGAGACCGGAGCATTCTCCATTTAAATTTACATTTCATTAATAAGACAAGATAAACAGTTATCGTACCCGCAGGCTGCCAACTTTCAGCTATCACGCATCCAGCTCTCTCGCACTGAAAATACAATATAGCTCTTGTGATATCTTTCGATTTTTTCCAAACCATGGTCATGAAGTACGCGTAGTGCGGTTTGATAATCAAGGCACCCACCCGTAAATGATTTCTCCCAGTATGGGTCCGGGATCTCATTGTCGGTCGCATCGTCCGCAGTGGAACTGGAATGCAGTGACAAAACATTTTCTCTACAGAATGGTACAGGTGCTTACAGACGTCTCATGAGCTATTTCCAATTGTGGCATAACGCATTCATGTTTTTTTATGACTGTGGTATAACGCATTATCTGGTACCGAGAAAATGGCGGCTGTTACACGAACGGCAAGCGACTTCCAGCTTTATGACAAATATACAAATTCGGGTCACACTGGTAGTGTTCAGTTTTTAACGTAATTCACTGAACAAAACGGAAAACATTTAGCTGATCATATCTTACTGCTGTTCCTGACTATTCTAATGTACGATCAACTTTGATAACTATCGCGCAAATTGACCCTGCAATATTATAATATTGCAGGGTCAATTTGCGCGATAGTTATCAATTTTTTTAATTTTTACGTCTGACTGGTAGTGATGAGTAAATTAATTAATTTACTCAACACTACCAGTCAGACGTAAAACTCTTTACTGCAGAATGGTAATTTATCATGTACTGTATGGGCTTGTATCAAGAAAATCGCCAGTAACATTTCTACCACCAAATAAATTATACCTAACTAATTAATAAAACAATTTCCTTTTGCTGAATATTAAAAACTTTCAGCAAATATCGAAGCTGTGCTGCATACTCAATCGGATAAGCGGAGCTTACCTCAACTACCCAATGGTCGGCCGTATGCGGCAGCAGGTGCTTCGAACGTTGCCCGGCGTGTAAAAGGTGGAAAAACACGCTTACAAAATATTGCAACATGTAACAACCTTCAATAGAAGCGCACATCGTCCTATAATAACATATGAATCAGTGTATGCGTCAGTTGCCGGAAGACATTTCTTTGACCCAATGCACTCAAGTTTCAACAGAGTGAAAGTGTGTTTTCATCAAGAAGAAATATGTAATCTACGGTACTTCGACATCGAGAAATCCGGTATTGAGAAATCCGTCTAACGTTAACGGAAGTCAGCTTCAGTTAGGATTTAGCTTTGTCTATAACAAGGCGATAATCGAAATTAAAATCGGCGTTAGCTGTGGTTTGTTTAACAGAAATTAGAGTAAGGCTTATGACATTAATTGGATTACAATTACCATAACTGGTTTGTAATTATTATAAACCAGTTCGGAAGGATTTTGCCAGTAAGATAATTTTGCTCAATCAGATTATGTGGCAGTTATTACGACTTCGAATGCTTATTCTTGTCTTTCTCAATATTTTTGTGGTATACAAAATTGCAACAATCTGTTAGTTCTTTATAATAGATTGATTGACATAAGGGCACAATATTATCACAACCATATTATTACATTGTAACGCACAGTGCAAAATTACTGGTTCAACTGCGTCTTTTTTCTGTTCTGTGTGATATACTGTTTTGCATTTTTTCGATATTCATTTGCAGAGATGCTGAGTTCCTGGAATATAAACTGATTCTGATTAATTGCTGGAATATGGGCATCACAACACTGGCAAACGGTACAAGTGCTCCGTTAAATGCTGCGTTATGCAGGGCTAACTGGACGTCAAGAACCGAAGTGGGAAGTGGTATCCTGTGTCAGTACAACAAACAACAAATACAACAAGTGCACTTATTCTACATTTTTGCATATTTATCTCTTTTGCTGCTTTGCACCATCGGCAACGTACTCAGTCTGGTTATCCTAATGCGTAGTATGCGCAAATGGAAAACATCTGCTCGGTGTTATATGTTGGTAACTACCGTTGCCGATCTCGGCGTTCTGTAAGTAACCTTTGCATCGAAGCTGTATAATAAACGGGTTTTCATGGCAGCATATTCACATTATTCATGGGTATCAGGACAAAAATGGTTTTCGCAGTAAGACTGTAGTGGTATGAGTTCCGTTGGCTGTTTCTAAATTGTTAGGTTAAAAAACAAACCGTTGTACAGTGTGATGCGTTGTAACAATCTTTCGTTACCACCTTATGTGTACTGAAAAGATAGTATATAGAAATAGCGGAGAGTCAGCTATTTCTTTGATTATCCTTGTGTTTTGCGCGATCGGAAAATCAATGGCTTTCACTTCAGATACAGCTAATTCTTGAATTATTTGCAGATGGTTGGGATTGCCGTCGTGTGTGGACAATATAGGGGTGTTGTATCACCTACCGTTTACGAAGCCAGGGAATGCACAAAAAAGTATAAGAATACTGAAAGGCTGCACAGTATGGTTTCAACAAGTCTGTATGCACTGCTCCGACTGGTAAGTCTCATGTTTATTCGTACTGAATCTTGTCAATTGTATTATACAATTGACAAGATTCTGTACGAATTTGTACGGTCATCTTTGGAGTTTCACTCTCACTTGTCAGTGATCCTGTTTGAGTCTGTTTCTTCATACATTTTATCTAGGATGCTAGTGGCGTTCAGTTGGGAAAGGCTACTGATAATAATCAACCCATTCCGATTCGGACCGTTGCAACGAGTGTCGACGGCCTGGGTCATAATAGCGATCCTATTCCTCGTAGCGCTACCGACTGGCGTATTCCAGTTTGTGATTTCCTACTTGTACTATTCCTTCGATCATAAAGACGATCTTGTTTATCTTACTAATCCGCCATCTTGGATTATTCGATGGTCAAAGATCGACGGTCCGGCTACGGTAAGGAAGCTTATAATTATATACCGGACTAACATTTGCATCGTACGGCTGTTTGTTTTACTTGAGTTGCAGCGCTGTACGTATACGCTTGTCCACAAAACGAACGACCAGTGTAAGCGTCGACAGTATGAGGAGACCATCGGTATTGTAGAAAATGACGTAGTGCCCTGGCTTCAGGTGTATGGTACATTAACGAATTTTGCGGGAGGGATATCATGGGCAGTCAAGGTGGCCGTGTGTGCACTCCTTAACTGCACTCACTGAGCTGCAGCGGGTAGTATTTTCAGTGTCGCAAACTTCTGATTTTCCCCGCTTACACGGGTCGGTTGCTTTGTGGAGAGGTCTGTAGTTTTCCGGATGCAGCACTGTTTTTGCTTGCACGAAAGTTGTTTTTCTGTATACCTGTTAGTTCTTTTTTCGCTGATAGGTTATTGTGCAACTAGTGACCTTCATCCTAATCTTGGTCCCTAGCCTTGGTCTGATCCTATTCCTCAGTCGTCAGCACCGCTCAACCATCGGCCAAATGCGTCTGCAACAAACACAGTCGTCGCGGTCGCGGTCCAGCTTAAAACGAAATGATTCTCGCTCCGAAACGGGCACTACAATCATCCTACTTAGCAGTTCAGCACTGTATCTTGTCACCAGATTCCCTGTGGTCGTTCAGTCATGCTTGTTTTACTTAGGCGATCGCGATATACATTACGACTGGACGGTTGAGCTTGTTACCGCCCCTTTTGCCGATATTGCCATGTACGCCGGGTATTCGTTTACATTTTTCACCTATCTTGCCACCACAAGGAATTTCCGTGAGCATTTGCTTAAACTGGTCACAACTCCAGTGTCCAAGGACAGTGCATACGTACGCCATTCTTGATCAGGGAGGTGTTCTGAATGCTTCGAAACAGGACTATCAAAATTTCTCGCCTGCCGCGACAGCCAATGCAACTGTTGACAATCATCTCCAGCTTAATGAGCTTATATTAAATGTCGCCTTACTGTTACGCTTATACACTGTACATCGTACATCGTATATAATCAACTCTGTACATCGTACATCGTATATGATCAAGCATTTGTTTAGTTTGCACTGTTTTGCTAATTTGTTTCGTGGCGATCCAGATTCTTTCTGTTGCTGTGTACCTTAACTAAAAAACCCATAGGATTGTAATGGATGGTACTGATACATTATTATTATTATTATTATTTATATTACATCTATTATGAGTAGAAATTACTCTTCTTAATTACTGCTTTTTCTTATATTCTTATGCAACTCATGTCACAAAATCGGAAAGCGATGTGATAAATGTTTCGAAATCGGACTAGCAACATCCGTATCGGCGGTTGTTGCTTGCGATGGGCGACCAACGACTTCCAGCTGGTGTTGGTAACGCAGCTGATCATGATAAAATGTAAGGTTTGGCGGTGTTAAATGTTATAAAGGCGTGCAATGTAACAAATAAATCATTAAAGTTATCCTACGTCTTATTGCTATTCCTTACTTTTCTAATTTTGATACTTACGATTACTACTGTCCAGTTTCAGGCAATGTTTGTAAGTTTTCGCGGATTATAGAGTAACAAAACAAGTCAACACGGTATGTCAGCTTAGGCGTATTTCGGCATCTGTTCTGATCTGCAAAGCTTATTTTCGTAGTAAAACTGTAGTGGCGCCCTTGTTGCTGAAGTGTTCGACAACAACAAACGAATGTAAAGCGCGAAGCATAGCGCATCGTTATTTCCTTAACTTGTCCGTATACGATGTAGTTTTGCTGATCTATACTTGTATGTAGCTTTTTGTATACAGTTTTGTGACCTGCGCAGCCAAACTCCTGCACACAGAGTCTGGACTCTCGACGGGCCTGAGAACAGGGAGTCCCGAGTTCCTGCAATTCCAGTTGTAACTGGTCCGAATTAGCCCAACAGTTGAAATAAGAATTTTTTCAACCGGTTGTGTCATAACCGGCACTGGATGCATTCTACCGCACCGCTACACATTAAGTATGCTTTTACTCAACAATCCTACAATATACGAGAATTGAATGTTATGTGAATTAGTAAAAGCGTGAGTTGCCGAAAGATCTTTACCTAAGGCACTAGACAGAGTGACTAACTGTGTTTTTCATCGAAAAGCAATAAAATCTCTGTACGGTACTCCGGTATCGATACTCAAGAAACGGCTGGGATTGGCTTTATGTCTACCAAGACGCTGTTCTAAATTAAAATCGGCATTGGTAGTACTAAGTACTACTAACTCTACCCTAGTCAGTTCAACAGAAATCAGAGTAAGACTAATAATAATGATAATGATAAACATCATAAATCAGTTAGGAAGGATTTTTGCCAGAAGGATAATTTTGCTCAACCAGTTAATGTAGCGAGCATTCGACTTTTGAATAGTCATTCTTGTCTGTCTAATAATGTTTCTCTGTCGTCGACAACAGTCCGCTAGTTCTTCCGTTATTATTGTTCTCCCGTTTTCCGTTTTAATCGATAGTTCAATATAAGCATCACAGCTGCTGAGCTGGGCTAACAGTGGATTATTTCCAGTTAATTAATTCCCTGACCAAGGAGTAATCCGCTATCTGAAAGATGGACATCACTGCATTAGCAAACGATACGGAGTACATTACTTCATTGGAAAACGATAAAGAGTCGATAACTTCATTGGAAAACGATACCCGTACAGACAGTTCTCCATTTCCTACGAGTACGTCATGCACTGCTGACTGGACATTAAGAGCCGAAGTCGAAAGTGGCATCCCTTGTCAATACAACTGGCAGCAAATAGAACAGGCGTATCTGTTCTACATTTTCGCATATTTACCTCTTTTGCTGGTTTGCACCATCGGCAACGTACTCAGCCTGGTTATCCTAATGCGCAGCCTGCGCCAGTGGAAGACATCTGTCCGATGTTATATGTTGGGAACTGCCGTTGTCGATCTCGGTGTTCTGTATGTACATCTTTGCCAATGTTGTGCGGGTGTTGATGTTATACAGCTATGCCCATTAAGGCTATTGTACTGATTAGCATACAGCTGATTTTCGCGTAGTGAAATTGTAGGGGCATCATCGCTGTTGTTAAAGTGTTATACAACAACTAACGATTGTAAAATGTGGAGTATTGAGCATCAGTAACTTTATCTTCTTGTCTGCGCATAGTGAGGTTTGTCTTAAACTATGGTTGTATTCCCACATCGCCAAATTATGGCTTCTGGTTACAAATTCTTCAATTATCTAGATGGTTAGGATTGCCATTCTGCGTATGGAATATAGGGATGTGGTACCACCTACCGTTTGCAACGAAAGCGGACGTAAACGCCAGCATTAGCCTCCTGGATGGGAGTACAGCATGGTTTCAGCAAATCTGCATGCACTGCTCTGACTGGTAAGCATCATAATCAAACAAAAATGACTACCCAGTAGATCATTTGATTACGAATTTGTACGGTGTTCTTTGGTGCCTTGTCCTCAATGGTCCCGTTTCCTGATCTATTTTAGGATACTAGTGGCATTTAGCTGGGAACGACTACTAATAATTATTAGCCCCTTCCGATTCCGACTGTTACAACGAGTGTCGACGGCCTGGATTATAATAGCGATCCTATGTCTCGTAGCGCTACCGATTGGTGTATTCCAGTTTGTCTCTTCTTATGAGTATTTGTACTATGTCCATCGTGCAGACGATATTAGGCACCCTACGTCCAGCGCGCCAGTTTGGTTTAATCGATGGTTAAAGATCGACGGAGAGGCTACGGTAAGGAAGTTTATACCACATTGTAAGTGCCCGTAATTCCGTAACTATTAACACGCACTACGGCTTAAATTTAGTGTGACCATCAAGTTAAAGGCTTGATACTTATGTGACTGTTGCGGCGCTGTAGTTTCCAAATGCATGCTTTATTTCTTTGATACAAGGCTATATTTCACCATGGATGTTTACTGGCAGGTCATTGTGCAAATCGTGACCTTTATCCTTATCCTCATGCCCAGCGTTTGCCTGATCGTGTTTCTCGGTCGTCAGCACCAATCAACCATCAGTCAAATGCGTCTCCAACAGTTACAGTCGGCGCGGTCGCGGCCCAGCTTAAACCGAAGTGATTCTCGCTCCGAAACGGGCACTACCATCATCCTGCTTAGCAGTTCGGCATTGTATCTTGCCACCAGATTTCCCACGGTCGTTCAGTCATGCTTGTTGTACTTAGGCGATGTACACTACGACTGGACAGTTGAACTTTTTGCTGGAGCTTTTGTCGACATCGCCATGTACGCTGGGTATTCATTTACATTTTTCACTTACCTTGTCACCACAAAGAATTTCCGCGAGCATGCCTTTAAACTGTTTACTCCTCTGTTGTCCAAGAGCTGTTCGTGCTTATACCATCCTGGATCGTGGTGGTTTTGTGTGTGCTTCCGAACGGGGATGTCGCCGCCGCGTGAATAGTGCAGCTGCGGATATTTCCGTGACAAAAATGTCCAGCTTTCATTAATAAATTCGATTAAGAAATCCATACTGTACCATCATGCTTGTACCGAATAAAACACAACGTGTTTATAAACCTCTGCGCAGGGTCACTGCCTCTAGAGGTATTACAGTAGCTGATGATCGTAATATTCGATAAGGATTTCACAACAGTACTGGGACGTACTATTACATACTATTAGTATGTAATAGTAATTTAAGTTACTATAAGTATGTAATATTAATTACTATTTATTACGAATGCGACTGACTTTTTGCGTGGTTAACTTAAACTAATAAGAAGCCGTTACGAGCTGATTTTTACTGTTGTGCGCGAAACCTCTTTCAAAATCATAATACTTCTTTGTGCTTACTTCTAGATCATAAGTATAAGGCAGAGTACCGGTCCAAATTTTTGCAACAGTCACGGCGCTCTACATATGTAGTGTATGTCAATTTAAACAACTACTAAAAGAATGCAAAGATGACAGTAACTACTGTTGTTCAGAATTTTCGTAGCCGTTCAGCTTTTATTGATCGAGCACTGCTATGTACTCGTATGTGTACCGTTTTTTCATTTTTGTTCTAAACCGTAGTCACGAAGCATTACTAGCAAATCACAGCAGTTACGAGCAAGGCGCGTGTTGATTGAACAATGGCTCGGTGTGTAATAGTGTATGGAATTGTGAAAAGATGTATTCGACTGATTATGGATCAAATTACGCTGTCATGAGCGGTTAATCTAGTGCTGACCGCATAAATCGCACCAACCGTCACAGCATCACGAATAATTCACTAAAACCGTTTCTCTATGGAATCATGCAGCCGCCAACAAACGTCTCATGAGCTGTTTCCCAGCGTGGCACAGCGTATTCGGTGCACCAAATCTTGCGGGAACATCCGGCACTGTAGCACTCGCTCCGCCTCCATGTCCAACCGACCAATAACGATCCACCGCATCGGTCGCGTGGTGTCCATTTCCAATATCTGTTGCATCAATTTGTACAGTCAAACGCGGGATCCAGTTCAAGGTAGCCGTTAGTGGCTAGAATAAACACATGCAGCACACTACTGTGTTTAATTTAACCAAGCTAGCACACGATGATCGCGTTGAGTTTACACACACTACTGTGTTTGGTTGTTGTGTTTTCGCTTCTTTAAACAAGTCACGATACTCCAAGCCAGTTGACTTGATCTGCTGTCATCCTTGACAACAATCTGGACCAGACTGTATTCTTGACGTTGTCTTACTTGTTAAGTGTTATACCCACTGTGCTGCTGTGTGTGGCCAAGATTACACTCGTGAATGACCAAAGACATTTTGTTCGCGTTGTTGGCAAGAAAGTGGGTCTGTTGTCGATCTCCAAGATAGTGCAATACCGAAGCTGCTTCTCCTCAACGGCATTTTCTGGATTACACTCCATCTTGATTAATATTCATTGATAGATAAACATGACGATAACATAACTCGATAATAGGTGTATATGTTCATTGTCGGATTGTACATCTTGGTGCTATATATTCCGGTAAGCGAAATCTGCACATTGCATTTATTATTTTATATAAGGTAAATTTTGCTTGCGTGCTATATCTCAGAATTTAGACGTTGTTTAAAAATCCCGCACACATTCGTCATGGGATCGCAGCAAAAGCGAAAGACGAAAAATGTAACATCCTAATCATGTTACTGTTAATGTGATGATAAATTTAATTTTTAATTTTTTTAAAAGAGCTTTACTGCAGTTGATTTATTTCGAAAAAAATATTGTAGCCTTAGTTCGCTTAATACTTGCATAAGGAGGGCGGCATTTTACGAATTCGTGTGACGAATTTAGTGGTGATATTGCTTCGTTGATGAATTGAATTCAGACATCTCGACACAAATGATGTCTCATTGTAAAACGTACAACAGCCTCGTAATTAATAACGATCAATATGCGGCGCATAATGATAACTGCGGAGGAGATGGTTCACTAAGACAGCCGATGATGCGGCATCACGTTTTCTGCATGATTACTTGGTGTGCTATAAACCAGATTCTGGAGAATAATTTATGGACACATGGAGCACACCAGTGCAGTCACACATGTTCACCTTGAAAGCATCAAGAGTCAAACATGCTGCCAGACAATTGCCGATGCAATATACAGTTTTTTGTCTGCAGGTTGTGAGAATTGTTATAAGTGCACTCTCTTTGTTGACATATCGTTTGCATATAGCGCAACAACGTCAAGTAGACAACATACAGCACAGGTACATAATATACATTCTCCGTCAAATGCTTTTGTGCAGGAAAACAACCGGCAAAAACAACTTGCTGCTTCGAAAGGTCATTATGCAAGTTATGATTCTAAAATGTAAAGCAAAAATCGCTAACAAATTATGTTGATAAAGCAGCAACATGTGTAAAATCTGTCTCACGGGCATACAAAAACAAGTGCTCTGCGTTTTGGAAATCATTTTATAAAATAACCAGCCAAGCAGCGAACTTAACAGAAGTTAAAAGTTTGCGGCTCTTTCATTTGTCTCCAGCTTAAGATCACTTTACTTGTAAGAATGTTCGTAAAATATAAAGTTTACGAAAGCCGTGTTATATGTACAGGATATAAATCTTAGATTTCTGCCTGTTTTATGTATATAGTAGCAGCAACAGTCTAACAAGTTCGCTCTATTTGCTCCGAATATTTAACTATGGCATACACGCGACTGTACATATTTCCCAAGTTCGTTTGAATCCGTCCAGCGTTTACTCCAGCCTCGGAGTACGACAAAAGCTCCCATCCATCATGGTTATTGTTACAACGACTTTCTCCGCATACAAGAGCACCTATCCGCACATGCTGATCGACCGCGAGTAAAAACGCTTAAGACAAACAGATCAACAATGGTCATCAGTGTGTAATTTGTCAGAATTATGCACACGTGAACAAGCAGTCGGTTAGTACTGCATAGACGATGACTATACACAGTCACACACTGTGTCAACAATAAACGGCAGTGGATAATTGTTGATGGAAATGGTCAACAGTAGCTCTACATAGACGGAGACCGGCTATTCGCTGCACATGGACACAGTGTCATGGTCAGCCGGTGTCAGTAAGTGATCATTTGCTATTCAATTAGCCATTCTTTACATTTCCTTGTTTTACTTATTGATTCGTCGGCTAATTACGCTCTGTTGGTTAATTGCTCCAAGTGACTACCGCTTGCTCTTTGTGACAAGGACAATCCAATGGCAGGAAAAGTGCTGGAGAAAGTATTTTCGAAAGTGTATATGCATTCGTTAACCTTTCATCTCCACTGCTGTAAACTGCGCAAATGTATCTAAAGAACAGGATATGCATCAAATTAGTATTATCCGAACTGCTTGCAATAAAACACCTTATGATCTTATAACTTTTTGGACATTTGACTTGAATCCTTGCAAAATTCTCCTTCAAAGGTTTGTACGTATAACTTTGTACTCCTATTCTTACTAATAGATGTTTTTTTAATAAAAACTGCGTCGTTATCTCTCAAGAAAGGCCGTTTGACAAAAAAGGCCGTTTGACAAATGCACCGATATTTTTTTGACATTAGCTCTTATCAGAAAGGATAAAAATTTATATGTTTTTGGAATGACTGATAGCACAGGACAGTAACCTTTAATTATTTTGGTTAGTGTTGCAAGTGTTAGCTAAGCGTAACTGGATACACTCACCGGCTGTACGTATTATTGTAAATGCCGATGACGTGAAGCACTTGGCCAATATTTGTCCTTTGTGAGCGCACCAAATAACTCTGATCAGCCGTAAAAATCTGTGCGAACCCTAAACGCTGTGCAGCCATGCCGGCACGGTGTACTGCAGCGTACTCTGCAGCGTCTCTGATCTGTGAACTCCCTCGACCGGAAGGATCAGTGGCTGCCGGATGGATTACACTGACCAGTCTATTACAGTATTCTACAGCTACATCGCTCCGCTCCGGCTTGATTTTTATACAACTCACAACTATTACCTGTTGCTTAATCCAAATCCAACTTGTTCACTCTTTGTATTGTCTTAGACGGTGTTGCTTTATTAAACTGGTTATTTGCTTGCAAACGGTTATTCATTGTCGTGAAAACCGTTTTTTAAGTAATAGTATGACGTAATCTAAGGTGAGGAGGACATAGCGAAGTAAATACTAAACACCTGCAAACCGAAAAACCTAATATGTGAAAAACGTTCCTACTCACGTAATTTTATACTTTGGTTTTGCTTCCTTAAGTTGCGTAAATATACCTACGCGGTTTCTAGACTTTGTTATGTACGTATTTTAAAGGTATTTGGATTGTTATTATCATTTTAATAGTACGTATGCCCATCGTAATTTGTAGGTAACATGGATATTTGGTGAACTTGGAATACTACCCTATCTGTATTTTTTTGGAAAATGGATTCGCGTGCCGGCTGACGCTCTTCGTTTTGGATAAGCCTTCTCAAAGTGGCAAGAAGCATGACGCAGTCGCAGCCGCGACGGAGTGGTTCATTGGTTGATTATTTATCTGTGATATGGCTGGTGGTGGTTGTGCATACGGATGCGGCCAAAGGGCAAAGTCACCATCAAGGGACTACTGCACTGCCTTCCGGTTCCATTAACACCATACCAAAATTTGATCCCAACGCCAATATGGACAATCTGCAGATCAGCGAAGATACACCAGTTGGTATGTCATCGTGTATTCACTTTTATTAGTTTTACTACTTAGTATTTGTTTAGCCAGTTTTTTTATTTTTTAATAATCGAATTGAAAATCTGTTTTAATTCTGCAACAAATAAGCAAAAACTTTCAAGGAAAACTAACGATAACTCGCGAATTTTCTATAAATGCACCACAAGATTTTGCATACGGCGCTCACGCCATGCCGGTGATAATCTTGAAATAATCCCACTTTGTTATTAACGGTTGAACGTGATATTATAATGGTACATGACCGCATTACTATATCTTTATACCATGTGCTGGGAAATACGAGTTATGTTTTGTGCGAAAGCCAAGACAGCTTGTGACTATACCGAATGCCGATGTCCCATTTATGTATGCTAAAGGGTTCGGATTAAGCGTTCCTTTTGAAAAAAAGCTCGTTTGTCTGTGTTTTTCTGAAATATGATCCACCGAGGTAAAAGGTAAACAGAGCGGAGATGTCATCAGTGAGGCTGACTGCTTACTAGGTTCATGTTTAACTTCGAAGCTATATCGTATGTTTAAATCATGGTGCGCGCGAACGTTTCCATCGTAAAAACGATAGTTTTTTATCGTAAACTTAAGTATTTTGTACGTGTTCTTGCTGCGTTTTTTAGTTTTTTGCACTGATAGATTCCATTACAGTTTCGTAGGAATATACAAAGTAAATCTTCCTGTTACAATTTGTGCAATACAGCTGACACTGGGCCGTAGAGTAGTATTTCACATAAATATCGTAACAAACGTAGTGAGGTGGCGCATATCCGTTGGGACTTCGTTGTGCATGACCATAATGTAATAATACAATACTTCTACCGAAGAAAGAGCTACAAAGATCTGATGTATTTTGACAGGTGTAAATTATAATAATAGCTTTTTTTGCAACACCACTTAGCTGTTTTTAACAGCAGTTCGGATTAGCAGTCAGTAAAACTGCGAAGAATTACCGATCTCCCTGTGATGGACACTTTGTATCGATCACCTTCGCTTTGTATCGATATACTAATTTCTCGCATATACACGTGCATAAACATTTCAAATAGTCTTCGGCGTTGCACCAGCCATTAATGCTAATGGCATTATAATGTTAACTAATTTCACTGCTTAATCGGTGTGTGTGTTTTGTGATCATGTGCAGGAAGTATTATTTACACACTGCGAGGCATTGATCCTGATCCGAACGCCACATTGACATTCGGCGTAAGCGGCGAGGGATCGGATGTTGTGCAGATAATCAACAGCCAACAGCCGGGCTCCCACGAGGCGAAGGTCCGTCTAATCCGTAAACTCGACCGTGAGGCCCATACGTCGCATCTCATACGGCTGACCTTAACCGACGGGATTATCAGTAAACCCATAATCCACGATTCGACGCTCTATGTCGGCGATGAGAACGATGAGACGGTAAGTGTAATGTTCTAAACGGCACAGCGCAATTTGATTACAGCGTAATTTGAAAACGACAAAGGGACCGACACCCAGTATTTTGCAATAAAAAGTGTAAGATACCGGCAGATTTAAGAACTTAGTGCAAGTATAAAACTTTAAAATATTGCAATATTAATCGAACTCGTACGTATAAACGCTTCAGTGCTGCAGCTGGATTTCGCCAAGGAAACATATACAAATAAAATAAAGTTTATTAACTCCCGCTTTAGTTTTTGCAACTTCAGTAAACAGCTTGTCACATATGAAAGACGAGTTCCACCAGACAATGTGCTCAAACTCTACAAATTCAGAGCCACGAAACAGTTCAAATCAAATCCGGCCCTGACTTCTGAAATGGAAAAAAACGCTGCTCAATGTTTATTTTATCCCTGTGATATTCTGCACTAATAAAATTAAAATAGTCCGTAATACTATAAAATGGCATATGTGTAAATTCGGAATCTTTAATTAGTATCTACCAGCGCAGGCTTGCTGTTCTGTTAAATGGCATATTGATGCGACCGGTAAAGTTTGCTGGGAACGTCAGGCCCAGAAAGAAAACAAGAACAGAATTCAAATTTTAAAAAAAATTATTTTTGCAGCCTCAATTTGTCGATTATAACACCACCTACTACGTGGCCGAAAACGCCCCACCCGGCACCGTCATCGGGACCCTGTCGGCGCGCGACAAAGACCAGGGCATCTACGGGATGATCCGCTTCGACGAACTGGACAACGCTAAGACCTTTAAAGTGGAGACACTGAACGCCAACACCGGCACCGGCCGCATCATTCTCACCGGCCCGCTGGACTACGAGACACAACCCATGTACCAGCTGCGCATCATCGCCATGGACGGGACACCGGCGCTGCAGCGCGTCAACACCGCCACCCTGGGGGTGGTAGTGCAGGTGCTGGACACCCAGGATACGCCCCCGCACTTTATCATCTACCCGAGTGTGCAGTATGTCCCGGAGAATGTCGCGATTGGGAAGGAGGTGTTCAATGTACTGGCGCAGGACGGTGATCGTGGTGTCCCGAAACCCATACAGTATTCCCTGCAGCCGGTCAATTCACCCTTTGCCATCGATCCACAGACTGGTGTGGTGTACGTATCGCAGCCGTTGGATCGCGAGGCACACACCAACGGTGGAACCATGGTGTTGACGATTGTGGCCACGGAGCTGCCGGTCACGCCGGGAATGTCGGCATCGGTGCAAGTCAGTATCATTATCGAGGTACGGTCTTAGGTGTAACGTATTAAGGGTATCGCAAATTTTAAGATCCTGCTTTCATTATTTTTATGCATACCGAACTGCCAAGCGAACGACACAATTCTATATTTTATAAATAAATGCGCATAAGCTTAATGTACACTGTGGATTTACGCTTAATGATAAACAGTAATTGATTTAGAAATTTTTCGAATTTTGTACCAAAGTGTATTGATTTTTAATGATCATTCTGTTAAGGATGTTAACGACCATCCTCCGCAATTTTATAACGGCATCCACCCAACCGACACATATTCGGCATCCATCCCTGAAAATGCTGCCGTCGGCGCCTTAGTTAACATGGAACCGGGTATTACGCCACGCGTCTTCGACCCGGACCAGGGCATTAACGGCTCGTTCGCCCTGACCATCACCGGCGAAGGCGCTCCCGCCTTCGACATCACCCCGGCTGCCGTCATCAACGAAGCGCTCTTCATGATCCGCGTTAAGAACACCTCGTATCTCGACTTCGAAACGACCAAACAGTTCCACTTCACCATCGTCGCACGGGAGACCGCCACCCCGGAGAAGTACTCCAGCACCGCCAGCGTCACCATCACCGTCCTGGACGTCAACGACCACATCCCGGTATTCCGACCGGACTACTATGAAGTGCACATGAAGGAAAACGCCCACACGGGAACTTTGGTTATCCGCGTTCAAGCGTACGACTTTGACTCCGGCGAACAGGGAGTGGTGTCCTACAGCAATCTCCAGGGGAAATACGCTGATCACTTCTCACTGGACGCCAATTCCGGGGAAATTCGAGTGGCATCCAATGGCGAGATCTTCGACCGGGAGGTCACACCGGAGATTTTCTTGACTGTCGAAGCCCGCGACAGTATTGGGAAAGGTCACCGAGCAACAGCCCAAATCCGCATCATCCTGGATGATATTAACGACAAACGCCCGGTATTTGATCAGGATATCTACGAAGCCACCTTAATCGAGAACCAGATGACCTTTTTACGACCGTTAGTCGTCCACGCTACGGATCGGGATGACACGAAAACTGGCAATGCCAAAGTGACGTACGCGATCGCTCGTTCCAAATATGCGGATCATTTTGTCATTGCAATCACCGGTGAAGTGTCAGTGGCTAAACCTCTCAATTACGAGGATGTGGTGCACGTCTTCAACGAATCTTCCGGGGTCCTCGATATTCAGATTGTGGCATTTGACGCCGGGGAGCCGCCCCTATCGGCCAGTTGTCTGGCGCGCATCTTTGTGCAAGACGAGAATGACCACGCCCCGCACTTTCTGCAGAACCACTATACCGGCATCGTGTCGGAAAACGCGCCGATGGGGACGGCCATCGTAACGGTATCGGCATTGGACAGCGATAAGTCGAATTTGTACGGCCGGGTGGTGTACCGCATTGAACGGGGTGCACAGGATAAGTTTGTCATTGACGCTCAGACCGGGATTATTGCCGTGGCTAGTGGGGCTAATTTGGATCGGGATGTGCAGGCGGCATACGAATTGAAGGTCAGTTAAAGTTACAAAATGTTGGAAGTTGTAACATGTTTTGAGTTTTAAAACATCTCACTTCAGCATCACCAATTACTCCTATACCAGAAAGTAGCTAAACTTTAAGTTTGCTATTAGGGCTGCAGAATCAAGCAGCATTTACGGTAAAATGAGTGTCACCAATTTTGTTTCTTACATGTGTTGGACGAAGTCGTAGTTACTAGTCTTTGGGTAGCCCAACCAAAATTTGGTGCTAAATGACGGCTGTATGCTATGCTCTACTTCCTATCACCTTAACGAACCGCAGACCTTTCAGCTGACTATTTTAACTTTACGCGACGCACAGGCAACCTAATGCAGTATCATGTAATCTGATGTAAAAAAACACTTATGGCGCACGTTATTGTGCGGATAATCTGACATGGTGAACCAACAAGCAAACTGTGTACAGTGAATAATATAAAATAACAAGAGGACAGGAAAAAGTTTATTATAAAAACGTCCAAAGTACTAGCTGTGCTCAACGGGGGTAATGGGACACAGTGCGCAAATCGAGACAGCAAACCAAGAAAAAGCAGAAATCAAATCTGCTCCCTGCCTCCTTCGTCTCATCCAAATATCCATCGTTTCAATCGGCTCCGGATACCAGGGCGACTGGTCTCCACTTTGACCTCTGCGTGCTCCGCATGCGCGGCCTTCCTGACTTCCTTCATAAGCTCCAGGAAGTTCTTGATCTTCGGTCCGCTCTTCTCCAGCTTGAACAAGCTCTCCACCGCCTGCGTTACCGCCTTGGCCGAAATATCCGCACCGCTCTTTCTCTGAGCGTACGCTTTGGCAAAGGTATCCTTTTCTTGGCGGTAGTGCTGCAGTGAATTCTCCAAGTGGAGCGCGTTGGCACGAATCTCCGCGCTATGACTCTGCTTGTGGTTTTCAATCAGGTACTTCAGATAGTCTTCATACGCGTCGTTGAACGGTGTCAGCGCGTTATGGCTGAGAAAGCAGGCAAAGATCGACAGGCAACGATTGATTTCCTCGTTCTCCTTCTTCCACTGCGCGATAGTTTTCTCCAGATCTCGCACCATGGCTTCCTGGACTCTCTTCTTCTCCTCATCCGAATTGATGCGCGACTGCTTAGCCTCGTCGCGCACCTTAATATTACGCCGCTCGGTGACGCTCTCAATGTGCAAGTGTACCTGATACGAATGACCACATTGGAAGCAGTTCTCAGATTTCTCCCGTTCCGCAGTAAATCCCTCGACTAAACCATCCTCTCCTACGCTTAATTCGTTATCGGGGTGGAAGCTGTCCGGCCGATAGCGTGCGGTTTCTCCTATATTGACGTATTTATTAAATGCCTTACAATCCAGCAGACCCTTATTACCGAGCACGTTGCTATCGTCATTGGCAAGATAGCAGTGATTATGACAAACGGATTTATAGTGGGTTTTCTTGACACCGTTGACGTTGACCGTCTCGCAGCAGTCAGCGTGACCACATACCGTGCGCGGATGCGCTAACGGTGTGGTGATGATATCCACCGCCGGCGTAAATAGCTCCTTGCGTAGCTCTTCAATGTTGCCTTGGAATTCCTTAACACGCTTTTTCTGTATCTCGCACAAGCGCACGCTCTCCGCAATCTGCATACTGATCTCGGCTAGCGGTTGTGTCAGCGCCTGGATGGAGATGCGGGCGTTGCTGACGGAGATCATATCCTCCACCGGATGCGGCGGCAGTTCGCGGATGTACCGCATCATCGCTTGGCACGTGGTCACGCCGCGCTCCCAGCTCGCGCCGTAATCGCGCTCGTTCTCCGCGGAGAAGCGCAGATTGTTGGGCGGGGCTTTGGCCATCAGGAAGCGGAAGGCTTCGTTGTCGAAACAATAGACATTCTGCGGGCCAAACTGAATGCTGACATGGGGCGGACGATTCTTTATGGTGTCCAAAATCTTCGTCAGGGTGGGTGCCGTGTCGCCGGGCGCGTAAAACGTGCTCCGGGAGTTGGTGAAGAGAAACAGGATGTTCTGACTGGCGGTCTTGTTCAAGTTCTTCAAGAGCTCGAAAATGCAGTACTGAAAGACGACGGAGACGCGGGCGCTGTTGGGTTTCAGGAGGATGCAGATGGCGTTGATTTCCTTGTACTGCGAGATAAACGCCAGGAGGTTGCGCATATTCGTGCCGTCGGTGTCGCCGATGCCGGGTGTATCGATCAGCCGCACCGTGCCTTCGCCGGTTTCGAATGTATAGCATTTCGGTGACTGGGTGCCTGACTCGCCGCCGGTTTTCTCGTTAGAGTCCGGTTTCCCCAGGGTCACTAGAGTGGTCTTAAAGGTCTGTGGGTCAGAGTGCGTGAAGTAGGATGGGATCAGACAGATGACGTTCTGCAATGCGTCTTGCATATTTTCATGACATAGATAATTGGCGAAGGCGTTGATAAAGGTTGATTTTCCCACGCCGGTCTCGCCCAGAAGAAGGATGGTAATGTCTTTGCTGCTTCCGGATGATTCGCCGCGAAAGGTCGGTGTTACAGGCTCATCTTCATAGAAATCGATATCCTCCATGTTGGTTTCTAAAAACAAGCACACTGGTCTTTTGGTTCCCCCTTGATCACCTCAGCAACTACCGGTATTTACATACTGTACGTACTCTGTAAAATTAATGTCTTCGGATTGTATGAAGCATACGGTATTACAGCTTATTGCTGCGACAGTTGAACTTCGTCGGTCGGACGGATGCTTGATTTCATACGCTATGCTCGGTTGCACATAAATTCAAAATAATGATAGCTTTGACTTACCGGCTAAAGAGCTGCTGACAACCTGTTAGAAAAACTCGTCTTGTGGATATATAAGAAGCTAGAAAATTGGCGGAGACCAACGAAGAACTGCAATATTAACTGAACTGTATTGTAGGAACTGTAGAAAGGTTGGAATTTTATAGCGGGCAAAGTGTTGGGTATGGCTGCGTTAAGATGTCACAGCGGATGTCGCAGTCGTTGATGACAGCAAAGTACAGGGAAGTGAAGCAACCAAGCCCTCGCATGCGAAAACTGTTGCTAACGAATGACTTAATATGAGCAGCGTGTGAACTGCGCCGCCTACGTTTTTGTTTCGCAGTTCTTTTTGCCCTTAATGATTCACTGAGTTGGCTTGGCTCTGAGCGATCATATCACGGGAAGCGCGCAAAATCAGTTGAACTTTACAAGAGATTGTATCAGTACGAAATTCTGTGAAACTGACATAGCAGACTGTCGGAAATTGTATTTGGTGTGGCGAATAAATTTATTCTGCGTTTAGCTCGACGATCTTCATAGTGATATAAACATTATGTTCAATAATCTCAACATATGTATTTATGTAGCACGTTTTACATTTATGTAGCACGATGTTATAGGAAAACATAATTCGAAATAATCGAAATATGCTGCTTTTAAAATCAGTAGCATTAAGAGAAAGGTCACAATACTGTGCAAATCCAGACATACCTTACTGCTACAGTACGTATAGATCAACGCATTGTTGAATAAAAAACCTGAACTTCCTAAAAAACTGATTGATTTGTGAATATTATGATAATATTTAGGTGGTTGCACTGGATGGCGGTTTCGGTGTAGACCAGAAAACCGGAACCACCCAAGTGACCATCACCGTCACCGATGTCAACAACAAACCGCCCGTCTTCCCGCCGCACCCCACCGTTGACGTCAACGAGACCGCTCCGGTGGGCTCCACAATTATGCGTATCGAGGCTACGGATCCCGACCAGAATGCGCACTTAACATACAGCTTGGTGGACGTTAGCGATGCCCTTTCCGAATCTCTTGTCCCGGTGCGAAAAGAGGATTTCAACTATACAAAATGCTTCGGGATGCGCGCCGACGGAATTCTGTATGTGGCCGCGCCCTTGGACCGAGAGGTGTTTGAAACCGTAAAGGTCACCATCCGGGCGGAGGATACGGCGTCGGAGAACGGACTGCAGACAGCGTTAACCACGGTGAAAATTCGCGTGGTGGATGTGAATGATAATCCGCCGCATTTCATCTTTCCCTTGACAAACTCGGGACAGTATTATGAGAATTCGGTCATCGAGAATTTCGTGCCAACATCACCGATTTTCCACATTGTAGCCGCCGATAAAGATAAATCCCGGCATATCAAATATTCAATAGAAAACGTAAGTCAAGTAATAAATATTTCCAGATTTACAATATATGTAAAACCGGCAGTAAAGCCTGTAATAAAACCGAAGATAAAGAAATACAGGCAAACCTTCGAGCTATAGTATCTTTTAACTATCATTTGATACTTTTATTCTTTCGATCACATTTATATATTTAAAGAATTATTGGAACGTAACCTTGTTTTCTAGCTGGCCATGTCAGTGCAAACATTCTTTAAAATGAATCCCGACACCGGAGAAATCACCTTACTGAAACCGTTGGATAGGGAACAATTTGATTGGATTAACTTTACGGCTCGCGCCACGGATTCCGGCATTCCGCCATTATCCAGTATCGCACCAGTGTATTTGTACGTCATCGATGTCAATGATAACGTAAGATTTCGTCTTAATAACTCTCGATATTTTTCATTTTCTGAACAGTAATAATTTCACAGAATCCGAATTTCACCTTTGCACCAAGCGATGTGACCGTCCGCGAGGACGTCCAGATTGGGCAGGAAGTGACGACGGTGCGGGCGGTGGACCCCGACTCCGGTCCATACGGTCACGTCAGTTACACGCTGGATCCTTCGACAGCGTTTGGAAAATTCGTTATTGATAAGGACACCGGGACGATTACGGTGGCGGGCCGGTTGGATCGGGAAGAGCGCAACTCTACGCACTGGTGGTCAATGCGGTGGACGACTTCCAGAATGGATTTAACCGCGCCAGCCGGAAGTCCTCAAAGACAATTCGGATAACCGTTGAAGATGTCAACGATAATGGTAAATTAAGATACTGCCCTAGTAATACGGAACAGCACGGTGACCTTTTCTTTGTCTTAGCGCCTATTATCAACACGGATGACCTTACTGACTGCATTCGGTTAATCGAAACGGACGGTGCCGGTACGCAGTTCTACACTATCCGGGCAGTTGACCTCGACCAACCGGGGACGCCAAATTCCGAGATTCGCTTTAAAGCCAATGGTGGGAATGGATCGAGTAAGTATTTGCAGTGTGCCGCCGATAGGCGATATTTGACAGCCTTATTCGCACAAAAAATTCTAGCATTTATTGAACGATTTTACTTTAATTTCCGTAGAAATGTTTGATGTATCACACAATCACGGAGCTCTAATGACGATTGTACCCCTAAACAATAAGTATGGAAATTACACTCTGGATGTGGAGGCGCGGGATCAGGGCTTTCCGGCTCTCTTCACCAACCGGACATTCCATATCTGTGTCGAGGACTTCAACGACAATGCACCGGTTTTTGTGCATCCAGTGGCCAATGAATCCGTCGCAGTGTGGGAGGTACGAGACTATAGTAGAAATATTGCACAGCGCCGAAAATGACAGTTAGTGCCTACTGTAATTTTTATTTTTTTAAAATTATTTCATCAAAATTTTTTTAAAAATCACCCGAAGAATGTGGTACAATGGCTTTGAACGCGAGCGACTACACTACGTTATAATGCCATTTCTAACAGAATGTTGTCAAACATTGATTGTAATTCTAAACCTAGCATATCACAATGTTGATTTTTTCAGTCCAACGACGCAAATAAAATTCGTTATTTTAATCTTCTCCAACAGAATGCCACGATCGGTACGAAGATTGTTCAGGTCAAAGCGGTTGACAACGACATTGGCGACAATGCCGTTGTTCAGTATTCCTTTTTAACGGACCAGAACTACGACTACCAGACATTCGAGCTGGACAGAGATTCTGGATGGATCACGCTGATCCGTCCGCTGGACAGGGAACGACAAAAGCAGTACACGCTCTATGTCGACGCCCACGATCTTGGCGTGCCGCAGCGGAACACACTGCAACGGTTTGTCGTGCGGGTTATCGACATCAACGACAATGGTGAGTTCACGGCTGTCGGATTTTCTCCTCGCTTGCTGCAAAATGTTAATAACTCAATGCATACTCTTTTACTTTAGAGCCGATTTTCCGAGTGGCAAGACAAGAATTCCATGTCGTTGAAAATTATCCTCCAGGTATGTAGGTAACCCAGAACAGAAGACAAAAAGAATAAAAAGCCAATAAAAGACCCTATATCCGTTTAAAGTCCGTTAAAGTCAATAAGCTGGAAAGAAGAAGTCTCTTTTGGTATTTACTGTGTACAGGTAAATTCTTTAAAATATAATAAGTCAATGTTTGGAAATGGTTGTACAATGAACCTGCAAAAAACGCGCAAAGGTCGCCTTTATATGTGATTTCGTTTTTCGAGTTTAGTCACATTTTCAAAGTAAATGCAATTTTACAGGAAGTATAATCGGAAAAGTTGCCGAAGCGTTCGACGAAGACGGCGATGCCGAACATACGCAGACTTGCTACTTTATTGTTGCCGGCAACACCAACAAAACTTTCTCCCTGGACAAACACTCACGTGATCTCCGGCAGCTGGTGACCTTAGATCGCGAGCAGACCGCCGCTTATGAGCTGACTGTTAAGGCATCCAGCAACTGCAATTATTTAGCACCAGGTGCACCAGTTCCTTTAACAACGAAAGATCACTCGCTAATGCAGGCGGTGATTGTTGTGGATGACGTCAATGACAATCCGCCCAAATTTCCACGGAAGGAGTATACTGCCGGCGTCACCGTGGAGAGCAAATATGGAACCAGAGTCACGAAACTGACGGTACTGAAATGAATGCTAAGTCAATTGTTACCTGACGCAAATTACGAAATACCGTTTTCTGGTTAGACATCTGGAAGACAGCAATACGTAATACATAATGCCGGTGCTTATTGAATACTTTTCCACATAGGGTATCTAAAACAAATTTATTTATTCAGACAATTTGCTGCATTTGCATCTATAGAACTTTATTGCGGTTACAAAGGGATTATGGTTTTCTCGCTGATAGGAATCAAATTAATCTCGATATTGATTTTAGGCGGTTGATCCCGACGAAGGCGACAACGGAATCGTGACCTATTCGATAGAGGAGCCGATTAACATTAACCTCAATAAAGATGAGACTTTCCGCGATCCACCATTTACCATCGACAAACAAACCGGAGAAGTTTTTCTTAACGTGAAATTCAATCCCGACATGAAGGGATACTTTGATTTCAACGTTTTGGCGGAAGACAGAAGCGGCTTTAACGACACCGCCCGACTGTTTGTAAGTTGTTTTATTGGTAATATGTCGGTTATTGAACAGCTCGTCAAACTGTGCACACGTTGAGTTTTGAGTAAATAATAATTTTTTGGCAGATTTATCTTCTACGTGCTGATCAGCGGGTGCAGTTTACTCTGCTTGGCAAGCCAGAAGATGTCCGCCTGATAGAGGACGCATTATTAGAGACGCTATCCAATATTACTGGAGCCCGAGCCAATGTAAGATTCTCCGAAATCTGCTAAAATTGGACACTGCAGCACTTAACTGCATGAACGATCATCTGCTAAAACTGCATACGTATAATTACATTCATGACCTTTCGTAGTTAATGTGTGCAGTATTTATAACCCAAGGTTGCCAAATACTGGCGTTTACTGGCATGTTTTGCATATTTAGTAACGCACAATGTTAACCCGAAAACTATTTGCAGATTGATGACGTAGTGACGCACATCGACGAAAGCGGCACCGTCAACGAGCGTCTATCCGACGTCCTCATGCACTTTGTGGATCCCAGCGGGAAGATCATGGACGTCGACACCATCATCGCCCTTATCGACCAGACCTATGACCGCTTAGAAACCGCCTTCAAAGCCTTTAATATCATCGAAGTCCAGCGGGCCATCCCCCGCGAACCCTTGACCAATGAGACCACCGTCTTGAAAGCACTCCTCATCGGGATCACTCTGGGGCTGCTGCTCTTACTGATCCTCTCCGCGGCCCTTTTCTGCTCGCAACGCACCCGCTACACGCGGAAACTACGGGCAGCCACGGCGCTAGCTTTCAGCTCCAGCGACAGCACCGCCGGTCTCCATCCGACGGAAGTCCCGGGGACCAATCTGCACAGCTACGAGGGCTCCAATCCGGTGTGGATGAACAGTTATGTGGAAAAGTGGACCAAGGAGACGGAGTCGGATGGGAAGAGTGCTTCGTCGGGGTCGGAAGAGAACTCGCTACCGGAGGAACTGGGGAGTGGGTATGAGGAGCAAGTACGGAAGACGACGTTCTTTGGAGATGAAGCGCGGGGTGGACTGCAGCCGGTATCCCCGGAGGGCAGCGGGAAGAGTATTGTGAAGGAGGTGCATTTCGGGGAGCTGGTAAAGAGGAGGACGGATCAGCAGACGTATAATAATATTTACGAGACGATTGAGGATAAAGAGGGGAAGTATATCGCTCGGCTGGAGTCGACAGAATTGTAGTGTGGTAGTCTACAGGCAGTAGTGAACTTTGTAGTCGGTATGGAGAAAACCGCTTCGTGCTAGTTGTGTTTGGATCGAGCGAAGTCTGTTGAGGTTTGTATTACTCTATTTTTCTCGAAATCGGAATCTGTTTGGATGGTGTACATACTGTATGAATGTCTGTTATTAAACTATAGTAAATACTGGATAATATTGGAAAGTTGTCAAAAGAATCGTTAACTGCTAAATTCGACGAATAATTACGAGTACATTATACTAAATGTTACCACCATGGAATCAGCGTGGATACAAAAGTATTATTTAATTTCGTTAAAATGCAGCTACATTATTAGGTGTGCGACTTCTTTGTGGAGCAGAAGTATTCTTGCGCCACAGAAGCGCGAAAACTTGAAGAAACAACAGTGCATCCGTCCAGTGACACGAGCTACACCAACGATAAAACGGGAGTTTTACGACTACGTTTTCTATGAGTTCTGTTGAAGTTTTACTTTCTCGTATTAACCGGCGTCACATAAAAGCGTAGATTAGAGTAGGTGTCTAAAGCGCAAACACTGAACGACATTGGTTTTTCCACTTTTCCCGTAAAACAGCTTTGCATACGTACTCGTATAACGTATACTGCAGAAACTACTGTAGAAAGTTTACATTTATCAGTCCTGTTGTGCTTCCGGGTGTGTCCACTTGTTACTAGAGCAGCAATATTTTTTTTATGTACCTAACACATGTCTGTGCGTCTGTGCGCGCTGCAACAAACAAAAGCCATTAATGCTGTGTAAGATCAGCCTTCTTGTTGAACTGTATTGTCAACCAGAAATAGCGATAGTGTATTTTTTGTAAAGGCAGTCATCGCTCGTCGGACGTTATACGATCGTCAGATTTTGTTTTTCTTCCGCTGCCAGAGATGCTGTCAAAAATATGTGATCGTGCACTCAAACAAAGAAATAGTATCGCTTACGGAAATTCAGAAAAACGGCATCAATCCCATCACGTAACGTAGCCGAAAGTGCCATGCGTACATGATGCCGCAGCAATATATCACCTTTCCGGAAATATGAAAGCCAACGCTCGTTCTGCCGAATTTAGTACATTTTAGTAAAAAAGAGCACTGGGAACCAACAACAATCTAAATACGTATGCAGTATAGCTCTGTACGTATGCAACAGTTTTCCTCGTATTTGAAATTCGACTGTCGATTGTGGGTATGCACGGCAAAGGGCAACTTTCAAACAACGTCTGTCGGCATTTCCATTTTCGTGTAATTATTATTGAGTCTCATTTTTCTAAGGCACTGTTGTTTTCCGCGACCGCAAAAATGGATAACTGTACAATATTATCCTGCAGTTCCTTAAGCAGTTCACATACGAGTTTATCGATTATTGCATTTAATGAAAATACCACTTGGACCCCGACCATAATGAATAATGATAAACTGCTGCCCACCTTCAGTGTCCCAACCAACCCACATACAGCCAAACCCGTCCATGCCAGTGAACCTCCCAGTTATCTCATTTTTTTTGCCATAATGATGACCAGTCTGAATGCTTTAAATCTCGCTTGCAACACCGGTTTGCTCTTGTTGTTCCTAATGTCGGCTAAACTGCGAACGACCTTTTCCGTGTACCTTATATTTCTCTCCCTCTGCAACATTGTTCTTGGTATCGGTATGTGTTTGGGGTATCTGGCTCCCGTTCTGATAAAAGCAGACCGCACATCTCAGAAGATCCAGATTTACTGTTTCATCATGAACTGGGTTGCATTGATTGCAACCAAATTTCCCACGCAAGCGCATTTCTTAATCGCTCTGAACCGTCTATGGGCGTTGGCATTGCCTCTATCCTATAACCGTTTTCATACGAAAACAGTGGCGTGGACATGCTGCTTGATGACCGTGGGTTTCACGCATGTCGTCACCCTCCCGCTAATTCTTCTGGACCAATTTGTCTATGCCGTACCCTTTCGAAAACGATATTTTTGTGCTACGACTATTGAGGGGACGCCTTTATTTGGTTATACGGCCGCGTTGCAACTGCTCGTCTGCAACGCTCCTGTAGTGTTTATAATTTTGCTATATCCCGTCCTGCTCCTACTTTACAAGCGTAACAAACGAAGGAAACGCGCACCCCCACCAAAGGCAACTCTCGCCATGGAACACAAGGTTTCGCAAAATCAACCGAATAATCCCGTCAGCGTATCGACATCGACTGACAGCGCAGTGGACAACGCGGCCTTTGCAAGGTCGGATGAGGTACGCAATTTAATGTAACTTAGCCAGCTAAATAATAACGAGAAAAATAATATGAGGTGGTACTGTTAGACTACGTTACTGTACAAACAGATCACATTGATTACTGTAATCCTACTGTATATAAGATATCGGCATTCTTAGGTTTTACTTTTAACTTGTGCAACTGTTGGCGTGAGAGTTCCCACTATAATTTTGTGCGGCAGGTGAAATATGCGATTACAAACGGGATAACGGAAGTTACAAAACCTGCGCGGAGAGTTCGAGTGCGTCCCTTCTTTATGTACACGCTCGTGACCTTTACGACATCTGTCTGTTGGGCTCCTGTTATGGTAATCTTGAGTTTGGCCTATTTGAAAGTGGTACCATCAGACCCGACATCGCTACACGTATTAATTCCAATGTTGCTACTTCGATTGCCGTTGGTGCTAGATCCAGTGTTATTCGCTATCAGCATTGTGTCCATTCGGCATGCGTGTGTTGCGGGGTTCAAAAGACTGATACGACTGAACAAAACTAATTGACTAATTAAATTCGTGAAAAGTTTTACAAGCATTTGTTTAACCGACACCTCTTACTGTGTACTCTGCGCTACGCATAAACATCACTGGCGGATTCAGTGCTTACAATTAACGAATAATTTCTACATATGAAAAAAATGTTTTGTTTGCAAATTGTTTTGCACTACTTGTAGTAAAATTTATTGTGCCGTACATCGCAATGCGTGCTCTTTTCTGAACAGTATAGGTTACGTACTGGATACTGTAACATACATTTTGTTTCGTTGCGATGTATCTTACGATAGTTTTGCAGATAACAAACAACATTCACAAATTTTCTATAGCATGCAAAGCCGTTACTCATTAAACCTCACTTTTGTCAATAACAAAATAAAAGTGGCCTAATCCTTCCAGTAGAAAACTTTCTATAATATCAAAAAAATGCTGAAAATCGCAGATCACCAATTTCGAAAAACAGATTCGTATGCATATGTATCACGTTAATTTCCATGTAAGCAGAAGTCAGATTCCTGCGCCGCATAAGCGCCGAAAACAATATTTTTTCCTACATTGAAAATCGCTGACTAGTAACTCTGTAAGCAAAATTGTTCAGTTATTCGTTTAATAGCAGCCAAACGGCAATATTTCACCTGGTGTTGGTCGTTGGTCGCAGCATATAACAAAACCTCATATAATGGGGGCAATCAAGCAGGCAAACAGACAAGGTAACGACATCCAATACGGATATCTAGAAAAAGCGCATCATATTTATTTAAACATTCATCCTTTAATTAATAAAAACATTCAGCTGGAAACCAGCAATAATTTCAGAAACGTCCATATTGGCGGGTTTCGTACCCCTACGCGGGCATGCAGAAAAACCGCATCGAACCCGTATTTATTTAAACGTTGAGCTCACAATAAGTAAACACATTCAGTGGGCAGCCAGCAATAACTGTAAGATACGTCGATACTGTATGGCCTTGTACGCATCTGTATGCGTACAGTACAAGGCCATGCTGCAGCATTACGTAGGTTAACCTTCGAAATTTTTCAGCCCGACATTCAGAGCACAACAACAATTTCTAAACCAAATTTTTGGAATGTTCTGCCGGCCTTAATATTCTCGGAGTGACAGATGTTTCCAACTATAGCAAAATGTATAATAATACAGTAATGCTTCCCTACAATTCCTTAAGCTGTACATATACGAACATATCCATACTTTTGCTTGCCGGTAGTATCAATTCCACGTATAACGGGGCCCAAGACGGGAAAGATTCTTCGAAAGAATCTGAGTATAACGAGGTCAAAGGGTCGTCCTGCCACGAGCGTATGAATGGAGTGAAGACGGATGCCGGATTTGGAGCAGGACGAAGCAAGAGTCTATTTAAGCATGATTGTATTCGACAACCACTTCCAGTTTGTAAAATTATTTTGTGCCGTTCTTGAGTAAAAATGAGTAAAACGCAGGAAGAACTTGAAGTTATGACATGTGAAGAATTAAAGGTGATGTTAAGAGAGCACGAGCTCACGGTTACCGGCAATAAAGCCGAACTCGTTAAACGTATGCTTGATCACCAGCCTGGATGTGCTGGCCATGGTGGTAAGAAAGATTCACAGCTGAACGTGTCGGGTAATACGGTCGATGATTTGGCTAAATCATTGGGATTGTGTGAAAGCACGGTTGCCGTTTTGAAGAAGGAGCGTTTCGTTACCATTGAAAAAGTCCTTTTCCTGTCCAAAGATGACCTTTGGACGCCTCCGCTGAATGCCATCCCGCTGTGCGACCGCAAAGATATTTGGACCTACATCATGGATAGCCGAAGTGAAGAGTCAGTGATTATTGTCCCACCTGCACCGTGCAAGAAGGTCAGCAAGCCTGCATCCGCGTTGGCAGAATTCGACCGAAGGGTCATGCCGGATCCGGTTGACTTTCCACGTTGCAGCCCCAGTCCTATTCCACCGGTCGAACAATTCCGCAATGGTGAGTTTGGCCTAAGAGAAGTTTTTAACTTGAAAGGTGACCCGTTGCCGAAGTTGGCAAGAAATTTACCACGACCACACGAGGTGGTGTATTCCCGCGCGCAAGCAGAGAAGAAGAAACCAGTTGGCGCCTTAGAGTTAACATACGCAGAATTCATGAATGGGTCGCTTATGTTGATTAAGCAGTTGAGTAAAATGCCGAGCCACGCAGAAACGTTGTGTGAATATGCCGAGTACGTTGAGTTCTTATCCAGTAAGGCTCCAGATTATGAACCAAAAGCTATATTGAAATTTGATGCTGGTTTCCGGCAATATGCCGAGCGGTTTGGTTGCTCACTGAATGATTTCAATGCGTGTGGAAATTTAATTCATCAGTGTTTTCACGCTGGTTCACTGTTGCCGGTTGAAGCCCACGCCGTGAGCGAAGGTTTTCGAGGTGGTC